AGATCTTATTGTCATATTAATAACCATAAGAATGTGTACGGGTGAGAGAATGGAAAAAGCAAGTTCCATGTCAAAATACGGACCTTCACCGATTTTCACCAAAAAAAAAAAGAAGAAGAAGAAGAAAAAGAAAATATCAAAAGAGGCTATATATGGGGAACGCTCGTAGAAATGGTCGTATTCAATCCGTTTTCAACAGCCAGCCCATATATAATGTGATTATTAATGTATTTATTGGCAACTAATCCGTAAAATAGTTTTAAATGGGGTGGAGATCCCCAAGGAAATGATGAAATTCTTTTCACCGTGTCCTGACGGTATTCCTTCATTCATGCTCAAATTCTGTACCCTTTATCGTTGCAGACCATTAACGTTTATGTTTCATGTACGCCTCAAGACAGGTCAACTTCCAATTATTTGAAAAGGCACTGATATAATGCCAGCTAGAGATTTAGTCGATAACTTTAGAGCAATAATCGCGAACTTAGCGTTATATCGAAGCTACTTGAAAAGTTAATGACAGAAAAATTGACTACGTACTTGTTGACCTAAAATGGTTTCAGCTCAAATTCATTTCCGCTAATCTCCTTTAGCTAACCCTCCATATATACACATACACATACAAACAGGCCTGTCGAATATTTCTGGCCGAATTGATTACTTTATTCTTCTCCATATATGGCATCAAATAGACTTTCCTTGTAATTTAATGGATTGATTTAACTCGTATCCGAAGAATCGAACGAAATTTGTCCTGCGTAGTAAGTACAGCAATCTTGAATAGAATCCAGGTTTTATTGAGAGGCTCTCTCAGACAAGTCATCCGGGTCGAATTTTTTTCAATTTACTTATCAACAATTTGCCGACGTTTATTAAACACTCGCACATTTTAATGCTTGCAAAGGATTGAGTGATATAAAATCGTAAATGAAAGGTAAGGCCGGATAAATCTCAAAAGATAGAATTTTATTAGATAAAAAATTGACGAGTAAATGAAATCTTTCTTTTAGAGGCCTAACATTTGCCGTCTGCTCCAATTTCTATTCGATTATGCATAATTTCAGAGAGTCCTTAGTGGAAACGTTCGATAAGAACGAACAAACGTATTCCAGTTTTGGTCTGACTAAATCAAGATACAGTTTAATTAAGCAAAAAGGATCGGAGCCCCAAGAAATACCAGAAGTGGATTTGAGTACGTTAATAAGCTAAAAACATTGTTTGGCAATTTAGTCAATGTGAGTTGTAGGAGAAAGTTTCGAGTGTAAAGTAAAGCCTGAAAAGTCGAACGTTGTAGCATATGATGCAGAAGAACCGTAAATAAGAAGAGGAGTAACTTTTTTTGGGGGAAAACTAAGTATTTGGTCTGAAGGTGTGAGTTGGAGTGACTCAAGACGAGAGGAAATAATGTTGGGGGATTCCGCCAAGGATAAGGAGGATCTGATTTTTTCGAAACGTTTCGGCTCAGAGCATTAGTGAAGGAGTTTGAGAATGTATCAAAGAAACAACTCGAAGAGTCAGTCGGGGAAGCCACAGAGACCGTTGAGTAAAGAGGGTTTAATATACATACTTTGGAATATGGGTATGTGAGTGGCAACATGCAATAGGATGCAAATGAAAACCAATTTCAATTAGACCGTGAGAACTACCTAAGGTTAACTCGTATTAGGAACTCACCTAAGGTAAACTCACCGGTGAACTCACATTAGCGACGGAAACAAAATGAGTAGGATCACCATTACTTAGTAAGACTAAATTGTTGCTTTCGATGTAATTTGGAACTTGTCTGCCTCTTGAATTGGAGAAACAACTAACCAAAGCAATAAAGTTACCACATATTAATACAGATATGTCAGATCTGAAAGGAAATAAGCTGTTAATTGCAGAATCAGAAACGTTACGCTTAGGCGGAATATAACAACTTATGATCAAGAGTTCCCCAAGGGAAGTGCGAATGATGCAGCTACAAGCTTCAATAGGTACACAATTTGTAAAATTAGTAGTGTAGAAGAATGAAAGTTTTGTTGGATGTAAGGATCGCCACATTACCACCATCAGAGGAATTGGAGATAGGATCATATCTAATCACATTATAATTATTAATGGATAATGAATCATAGAACTTGGAAAAATTTCAGAAAGACCAGCCACGGAGATGGATGGCATTATAATAAAGATATTGTTCAAGCTGTTTTGATTTCTTATGGATGCTAGTGCAATAAAGTTGAGCTATTCTCATTATTAACCGAGTGAGAATAGAAGTACGAACCAGAAGAGGGTCATTGGTTAAAAATACTCTTATGAAGGTTGCGAGATAAGCGCCTGGCAGAGTTAATAGTAGAGTTTTTTTTAGAGGACGGCTTGGCATTATGCAGTTTTTGATCGCGTTCAGAGATTTGAAGTAATCATTTCGTGATCATGTCTGTGATGGGTGTCACAGTCTCTGGATGTGAAAGAGAGAATGCAGTGATTTCATGATTTATCATCTTTTTAATTGGAACTGAGATAGCAGTCTCAATATTGGATCGTTTGATTATTGATTGAGAAGTCGGGGAAAACAATTTAGGAAAACTTTCTAGAGAAAATGAAAAGCTATTATTTGGTTGAGTTTAAGAATTTCGAGAGAAGTTCTACATTTGAGGCTTCAAACGATCTGCTGCCTTTTTTTTGGAAGTTACAATTTTTTATAGGAACGACAAGTTTTCGATTTGAATGAATGTGCACCTTTACAATTGATACATTTTTTAATTTAAGGACAATTTGAAGTGCATTCATGGCTTATGCCACAGGAAGGGAAAAACGGCTGTTGACGCGAGCATACTCTATTCGTGTGGTCAAAACGCCAACATTTGCGGCATTGTAAAATCGGAGAGATAAAGGGGTCACAACCCAAAGGCAAACAGCAAGAATTGCTTTTGAATGGATTCAATTGAATCTATACAACATCTATACGAAGGCCACCACCCAACAGAGGGCGTACTCAAGTAGTGGCCTAATTAAGCATATGTAAAGCCTTTTTGTAATGTAAAGATTATTAAGCTATCTAGGCCACCGTTTAATGAAACCGAGCGTCGACCTAGCTTTACCTAAAGAGAGCTCAATATGCAAATTAAAAGCGTAGCCTTTGACCGAGTAGAAATTGACCCCCTAAATCGATGAATGAATCTACGTTTTCCTACTTATATGCATCGCTGAAATATAAGTAATGAATAACTCTCTCCTTGAGAAAGAAAGCTTCTTGCATTTTCTTAGCTTATGGCTTCGTAACAATCGATCTTCGTTTTAGAAAGCCATGCTGGAATGGAAAAATAAATTAAATTTGACAGCAAAAGCTAAATGCTGAGTAACAATTCTCTCAAGAAGTTGAGGGAGGACACTCACTTTAGCAATGCCTCTATAGTTCTCAACGTGATGTGTGTCTCCGCACGTCAAGGTACTCTTCCAACACAAAAGAAAAACGCCTGGTTTCAAGGACTGATTAAAAAGTCATTGAAATAACACCACATAGCTCGCCGGAGCGTGATTTGAATGCACATGATGCAATGCCATCAGGCCGAGATGTAGAACTATATTTTAAAGAGCTTCTCTGAAATGACCAGAAATAAGCAGCGGCGTTCTCCTTTAAATGTTGAAAATTTTGTACCAAATTCAATTTTAGTTGATTAACAAGATCAAGAGATAAAAGCATAAAAAGATGATTATGGACTTTGCAAAAATTTGATCTTCCGAATATAGTCGTATAGAGTAATTGGATTTTTAGATGAAAAAGAACGGGAATTCTCTGTGGGAAAGTATTCGCAACTGAAGAACTGTAAAGCTTATGTATTTTAACTATTTATAAAATGCTTTACTTCAACTCGTAACAACGATACATGTAAATGTGTTATAAATCAAAATTACTCAAGATTATACACCGAAACTTTGCGGATATGACGATGGACTTTATTAGTAACGACAAGCGTAAAAACAAAATTAACGCAATGATTTCGTTTAGAAAGTCGAAATAAAACAATTAAGCTCATAATAAAAAAAGCAATATAACATATTATAACCATAAGTTAAATGCTTTAACTCGCAATGAAGAGATATTAATGCGAATAAATGAGGTTATGTCTTATGAAAGAATGGCAACAACTCGGCCACGTAACGATATATCAGAAAGTACCGTAAGTCAAGCTTAGTCATAATCGCTTCCTGAAACTTCGTATACACACAACGTCGGCAACAAGAGTAACTAGTAAAAGTAAAGCGAAAATGATTTGATGATAAATGATTTAAACAATCGAAATAGAACTACCGAAGATCAGTTAAAGTTGGGGGACTTCGAAGACTGATTTGGCCAAATCTGTCAAAGTGAGAAATAAAAGCGTATTAATTGAAAGAAAAAGTTGAAAAAATTTAATAATATTTACTTACCTGACATATGATTAATGCAAAAGGACTTTATCGGTATATAATTGTATATACTTATTTAACATAACGCGTTGACATAGTCCAGCCTTGTCTTTTCGTTAATCTCTATATCTACCTGTGATCGTTTGCTGAAATGCTTATCGTCGCGAAGACTATACTGAAACTTTGACTACACAATTATCAGTTAGTGACTGTAGATCAAGTTTGCGTTCAATTATCACTAAAATGCTCAAGTATCATCGTAGTCATTAGCATTTACTGACCTAAAAATAGGCGCAAATTTTCAATGGACTCGTTTAGAATTTCCATATGAAAATGGAGAAGATCAACGCGTAAACGTGCCGTCGATTCAAGAGAAATCCTATTTTCTCTTGCTCTTATCTACAAATAATGTAATAATCTATAAGAAATATCGGTCTTGATGTTAACGCCAATGTTAACCTACCATTAAAAAATACCTTGACATGTAAATATAAATGTCAATATTTAATAGTTTTGTTGCTTGTTTCCATCAGAAGAACGCATTTATATTCATTATGGATTGAAATCCAAGAGTTGTTAATAAATAATTTTTTCTTTTTTTTTTTCAGTTCAAACAATTGGTAAACTTGATATATTGCAGGGTGTAAGCGGTAGATTTGGTCATGGGAAATTATCAGCTATTATGGGTAGCTCCGGTGCTGGGAAATCGAGTCTGTTAAATGCTTTATCTGGTTACGTGTAAGTACAAATCGCCTTCATAAGATCAGGGAGAACAAACTACGAAACGATTTATAATTTATTTTTTCTCTCTTTCTCTCTCCCTTTCCGTCATTCCCTCTCTCATTCTTCTTCTCTTCAAACATTGCCAAAAAACTTTGCAAGTTTCATACATACTAACTAACTAGTTCATATATATATATATATATATATATATATATGTATATATGAACAAAAGTGAGAGTGTAACGTGATACAATCAGATATTCTCTATAAATTCAAAACGGTAGCCGTTACAAAGTAACAAATTACTTTTTTCGTATGCTTAACAATGCCTTTTCAACCGAGTTGGAAATCAGAATACAATAAGTGTGTTAATGTGTTAATTTCAAGTGTCTATGGATATCAAAAAAATTGAATTTGTTAAAATTATATATGGCCGACGTCACGAATTGGTCGATTCGTTTCTCTTCTTAACAATTCCGCCGATATAGGTCTGAAATAACCGAAGAGCGAGGAGAGTAGAATGCATCGAGAATTGCAAAAGAAATGCAAAAATGATGCTAAAATTTATAAAATTTATTATATAAAGACAAAAAATCCACTTCTTAGACGTTAAAAATTTTAATCGCTTCAAGCATTGATTTACATTATAATGACCTAATAGTGGATGGGATAACATTTATTTTGCGATTTTTTTAGTTCATTTACATAAAAAAAAAAAATTTTTTTACGTAATTTGTTCAAAAAGTTTTCTATAAATCTTCTTATGTGCGAAAAAAAATCTTTTCCGATCCTTTTCTAATATTACTTTTTTTACAGTACTATTGGAGTTTCAGGCGATATAATATGCGATCGTAAGAATATTTGCTATATAGTTCAAGAGGATGAGCATGGAGAGAATTTTACGGTAGGGGAACTTATGAATTTGGCCTGCGATCTTAGATTGGGACGAAAGCAGCGATCAGAAAAACGGGAAATAATTAATAAAATTCTTATCAAGTTGAATATGAATCATCGAGTCGACGTTAAACCGCATAAACTTAGTGGCGGCGAAAGGAAACGCCTTTCGATTGCTTTAGAGTTGGTGGCAAATCCGAAAATACTATTTTTAGATGAACCAATAAGCGGTTTAGATGAGGTTACTGCCAGACAATGCATTCAATTGCTAAGCAATTTAGCGAAAGAAGGTCACACAATAGTGTGCACTCTTCATCAGCCCTCGATGACTACATTCAATTATTTCGATAGTGTTTATGTACTGGGCAAAGGGCAATGCATTTACCAGGGTTCACCTCGCTCTCTAATACCATTCCTTCAGCATATTCAACGTGAATGCCCAATACAGTATAGTCCGCCCGATTATAGTAAGTTATATAAACTTCGAGATTGCGTCTCAATCATGTTATTAACTATTAACAATTGAACTTTTTGAAATAGTTATTGAGCTTTGCGATTTTGAAGGGGAGAAAATAATTCGTTTGATGAGCGAAGCTATGGGAAATGGAAAATATATTTATTATGATGATAGTATTCAAATGCCTTTTAGGCAAACGATTGCTGAACAAACTGCATTAGAGGATTCAGGTTTTACACTAAGAAATGAAAAAATTTCAGGATTTTATCAATTCAAAATTCTGTTTGCCTTCATGATCTTGAAAATTATGCGCGCTCGTGTATCACTTTTATTGCAATTCGTGCATCATAGTTCGGTTGGAATATTTATGGGTGAGTAATTGGCCGATTTTCACTAACTCTACTTAATTAAACTATTTTGTAACATTCCATAGGTTTAATAATTTGGAATAAGGGCAACGAAGGCGCATTAATGTATGAACATATGAAGTTTTGCGTTATCAATATCTTTATGGTGGCGTACACTCAAATAATTATTCCGGTATTGGGTTGTAAGTAAATATAACTAATGAAAAGCAAAAAAATTTTTTTAAATAGATTTGCTATGTAAATGAATTGCAAAACAATGCAGTAAATCACTCATCGAATTATGTCAGAATAATTGAAAAAAATCATTTAACAAAATGAAGGATTGAAACTATTCAACTATTCTCCTTTGTGAAGATAAAACTCGTCTTCCAACAATGTATATATATATATATATATATTACGCTCAAGCTGCGGCGAAAAGAATTCTTAACCGTGCTTGCGTCAAATGCATAATAAGTCTTGTAATAAACTGAATTTGGATTTAGCACATGTTTGGTCTATTGTTTCTAGATCCCACTGAGGTGAAACTTCTGAAAAAGGAAACTTTTAATCATTGGTACACTTTGCCACCATATTACGCTGCCTTTTGTTTAAGTCGAGTTCCATTACAGGTATGTATTCTTCTTAAACGTAATATTATAGTAAGGGTTTTGATTAATTGACGCCAGAGACGTTTTCTATTGCAGATATTTTTAAATGTCATGTATCTGGGGACAACTTACACAATGTATGGCCTTCCCATGCAATGGTCTCGTTTCATTCTATTCGTGTTAGCGGTTCAGATGACCTCGTTTGTAGCTGAAGGCATCGGCTTAACAATAGCATCTATATTTAATGTTATTGTGCGTGATTTTCTCTTACCCTTCATTTATTTTTATTTTAATTTTTTTGTTATAAAAAAAAAAAAAAAAAAAAAAACAGAAAAAAGAAAGAACAATGATAATACTAATTACTCCAATTTCACTATTATTAGAACGGCACAGTCGTGGGCCCAGTCACAATTGCAACGTTTCTTGGAACTGCCATATATGGTTTCGATTTTGTTTCGAGAATCCCTAAGATTGTGGATATCCTTCTAACATTTACTTTTATGCGCGTTGGTTGCAAAGCTTTAATCTTCACATTGTTCGGTTTTGGACGCGAGAAGCTGGATTGCGACGACTACTTTTGTCATTTCAGTGATCCCCGCGTATTACTCAAGTTCGTCGGTCTGCACAAGACTTCATTCCAAGAACAAATCTTTCTGTTATTGATCATGGTTATATTTTTTAGAATTCTATTTTATTTAGGCTTACGTAGACGATGCAAAACATGAAAAATAGAATAAGAAATTTTCCTGCATTATTTAACATTAGTTAGCCCACAAATTAAGAGTGTATTTTTTAAACTTGCCTACATAGTATGAATAAAGGATTATATAAACACAAATCTGTAGTAGATCTGTATAAGTTGTGATAAAAAAAATTTTTTTTTTTTTTGTTTTTTTCATATATATAAAAAAAAAAATTAAATATAAAAAAAATATATATATATATATATATATATATGTAAACGTTCGTTTATTCTTTATCAAGTTTCTTCGAGATATTAATAGGAGCATTGCATTCGAATAAATGTGCGGGTACAGCTGCGAAACCATCGATTAGCTGACACATTTTCAAATCAATTGCTTAGAATTGGTAAGAACTTTATTAATTGCCTCATAAATTCTGAAACTCGAAACGCGTAAGAAAATTATATTCGATCGTCATCGAATCTTTTATACCCACACATTGTCATCCTTAAAATGACAACAAAAGTAAAAAGGATATATTTTCATGTTCTATGATATGGAGTGGCTGATATTATCTACTTTCAAAGTAAAAGGTTTTTGTCGCACAGGCATGTCCTTGGAAAAGCTTAAGCCACTTTCAAATCCTTTTTCACTAACGGTCGAATTGTAATCACTGATAGGGTAGACAGACAGATGGACAGGCGAACAGACGAACATGCTTAGGTGTACTCCAAATTTGAAATTGGCCAAGAATATATATACTTTATGGAGTGTTTGAAGCTTGTTTCTGCGCCTCATAAAGGTATTGAAAAAATAAATAACTATTGATACACTATAATATTGGGCAGGCGAGGTCATTTTTTTTCATTTTTGTAGATGTGCTACAGTATCACTCCCAGAATACACTTTCGATTTTTTTGTAGATCTACTTGCTATAGTTTTTAAGTAACGAGCAAAAAATCAAATTTTTATTCCTTTTGAAAAACACAATTGCTCTCAGTTTACGTAACGCTATGGGGGATTCCTCGGCGAGATTTGATTGATTTTCAATACCAACCTGCGTACAGGAACTTTCAATAGTTCTGCAAAGTTTGAAGTCAATAGCTTTTAGATTTTTGCGACCAAGAGAATGCTTACAACGGACAAGCGGACATACTTCGACCGATTTAGAATTTGATGTTGATCAAGAATATAATATATACTATTGTGAGATTTCTAATGCTTCCCTCTGGGCGTTGCAAACATTTTGACAAAATGAATACACCCCCGAACCTTCGGTCTGGCCTTCGGTGATTGATATAAAAAAAAAAAAAAAGAGTTAATTAAAAAACCCAAGAATCACAATTGGACCAACTGAACAAGTTATTCTTGCGACCGAAAACAAAGACGTCAATGAACATAACAAAATTATCCAGTTAGGCGGTCAGATGCACGTGGCGCCCACGCCGTTGTGAAAACATTTGAAGCGTTGCATTATCCAACAGAATTTTTCAATTCACCCGATCGGTCAAGGATGACTGAGCCGCAGCGACGCATGTGAGCTAGGTCTTAATAAAGTTAGTTATTACGGAATTTTCGTGTAAAACTTTTTTAAGTGATTTCAATTGATTTCAAGCATTTATAAAAAAATTCATTTACAGTAAATTTTTACGTGGGCAAGGCCTTATATACATCTCCAAATGCGATAAAATTCAAAGTTATTTTATTATTTCCTGGTAGTGCCGACCTTTTCTTTACGTTTCTTAATATGTTTCTTGATCTTAACTTGACGCTTTTCAGCCTTGGCTTCCTTCACCAATTTTTTGCGAGCCCTTTTGCTCTCCGGCGATTCATTACGAGGTCTAGCGCAATTTCGAAAATTAGTTTCGTCCTCGATCGTTGACGATTGGGTATCCTCGTCGCTTTTTTCTTGCTCAAAAGTATCATCGACTTTTTCATGGGGTTTGTTCGACAACTTTTCATTATTTTCAAAATTCTCTTCCGATCCTTTACAAGATTCTAAAATATCCGGTTTCTTTTGAACTTGCAGCTTTTCATTAAGACCCATTATTTTTCCATAAATAAGGTTAGAGGTCTCGCCTTTCTTGGCTCTGTCTACATCACGCTCAAAATGTGGCACTTCATCTAAACGTTTAGGTATGTAGCTGTTTTGCCAAACGGCTTCATTTATTGTCTCTTCAGCTGTAAAAGTTTCACAATCACGATCTTTAATTTGCTCAGATAAACGTTCCAAACAAGCCTCCATATTATTATCATTGATTGATTGATCTGTAATAAAATCAAACAATTCCTTAACAGTCATAGTTGCTACGGACTTTTTACGAAAAAACTCTGAGATATTTGCGCAATCTTTGCGCAAAAAGTCGAAAGCATGTGGATGATCATGCTCCACTGCTTGACTAACATCGATAATAACCAATTGTCCATTTTGTAAAAGGATGTTAAATTCAGATAGATCGGCGTGAACTAAGCGACATTTGTTGTAAATTTTCCACATCAGTACAACACAGTCCCGGTACAATTCCCTAGCTTTAGATATGCTAAGCTCGACATCTTTAAGTTTAGGCGCCGGCCAACCGTTATTTCCACAAAAACGCATAACCAAAACATGAGAACGGAGCAATACGGGTTCGGGAACAGTCACACCAGCATTGAACATACGTAAATAGTTGCGCATCTCCTTTTCGGCCCAAGTACGTACCATTTTACGTGGATTGTGCCGACAGTATCCATGGCGGAAACGAAATTCCCCTGATACATACTTGTCGCGATCTTTAAAGACTAATATAGAGGTTTTGTAAATTTTAATGGCAAACTCATCGTTGCCATTGCGCGCCACCGCGTGATAAACATTAGCCTCCTTTCCGGTGGATATGCAACCATTAATCTCTTCTATTAAGCCACGATTTAGCAATTTAAACAAAATCATGCGCGTTCTAGGATCCATTACTTGTTCAGCCGTGGCACGATCATGTTTGTCACGTACTTTCACCTTATCATCTTTCCGGCGATCAAAGTTCACCAAGCGATTGGCTGCCTGAGCACTCATTACTGTTGAGGGATCGTATTTTTCAACATTAATTCGCCTCGAATAGCGCCCCAATAATTTCTCATTGGGTTGAAAACTATTTAAACGTTGTGTGCTTGTCCGATTGGGATGTAAATTATTAGTGTTAGTGATTTGGTTATGAGTATAGCTCTCTTCATAATCGTACGCAGTCTCGTCATATTCCTCATATTCATCATATTCATCATATCCATCGTACTCACTGCCTTCGGAGCTTTCTGCTGCCAATTGTTCGTTGTTCTTTGCAGAGAATTTTTCCACCTCCTTCTTGTCATTCAAATCTTTAAAAATGCCAGATTTTACTGTTAACTTTTCAAATCGTTGAATGAATTTTTCCTAAAATTGTAAGGATACTATGTATATTAGCCATTCTAGACAAAATCCGTTATTTGTTAATAAACCTTCAGCGTTTGTATTTGTTGATGCGATTCTTCATCTTCTTCCGCATCGCTAAATTGGTGTAAAGCGTACATCTTCCATATGCTTTATTTTTCGATACAGGAAACTAACTGTTCCAATGCAAAGGTTTGGTAAGTCAGCTGACTTCCTACATCAGCACAATTTGAAAGCGACCTCTTACAAATAATTGTGCAGGGTTGTTGTTTTCGATGTTGTTACTTTTCATTATTACATCTCTGTAGTAACAGCCTTTAGATTCTTCAGCTGAAATTTTTTCATGCAAAAGCAAACACGCTACATAAATTCAGTAAAGATATTAAGATTTATTTCTATAAATTTTAATTACCTGATGAGTTAATCAAAAACTCTGAAGGCCAGCAAAACAATGAAACAAATTAAATTATTTATATCTAAGAAAAAAAAAATTTTTTTTTACTAAAATAAGGAAAAAATAAATTAAATAGACCAACTATAGGACCTTTGCTTGCATACATTTAGAACAGGGCAGTTATTTATTTCAGAAAATGATATACAAAAATATTTAATAAGCACTTTCCTTGAATCTTATCACGGATTTATTATTGTCTATGAGGGTTACGAAGACTTTTGAATAACACTGTTGACAATCAAAACAAAAATCGCTAAAAGTAAATTCAGAGAACTTGGGGCTTGGCAACTTTTTTATTGCCAAATAATAAAAAAGAATCTGTATACATACATATTTTTCAGTGGTTCAAGCAACACACAAAGGCAGAAATCGATTGTATTAAATTATTGAAGCCCTCATTTTGAGCAATAATTTATTTCGTGTATAAGTAAAGTTAGCCTATAAAAGAAATTCTAATAGTAATTAAGATCTTACTTGTGCTGTTTCTGTGAAGAAAGCATCCATCGTAGAACGTCAGCTTCATTACTCATTTGTTACACAAAAGGGCGTTGTAACTTTTATTTGATTCAGAAGCAATGGGTACTCTATCGGATTTTGGTCAGATGGCCATGAAATGGGATCCAAAAAATTTGGAAATACGCACTATGTCAGTGGAAAAAACTCTTGAACCATTAGTGTTGCAGGTGACAACTTTGGTCAACACTAAAGGACCCAGTAAAAAGAAGAAAGGCAAATCGAAGCGGGCCAGTGCTCTTGTTGCTGCTGTTGAAAAAGCTACTGAAAACTTCATTCAAAAAGGGGAGCAGATTGCATACGAAAACCCCGACATTACATCAGAAATGCTGGCTGCTGTTGACGAGGTTCGTAAAACAGGAGATACGATGAGCATTGCCGCAAGGGAATTTTCAGAAGATCCTTGTAGCTCCTTAAAGCGTGGAAATATGGTGAGGGCAGCTCGCAATTTACTTTCAGCCGTAACGCGCCTCTTGATTTTAGCCGACATGGTTGATGTACACCTTTTATTAAAATCCTTGCAAATAGTGGAAGATGATTTGAATAGACTTAAAACCGTTTCAAGTCAAGATGAGCTTTTAAATAATATGAGACAATTTGGTCACAATGCTCACGAGTTAATAAAACAGGCCGCCAAGCGCCAACAAGAACTTAAAGATCCTCAGTTACGCGATGATTTAGCAGCAGCTCGTGCTATGCTGAAGAAACATTCTACTATGCTTCTAACAGCGTCAAAGGTCTATGTACGTCACCCTGAACTTGATTTAGCTAAAGTTAATCGTGACTTCATTTTAAAGCAAGTTTGCGATGCTGTAAATACCATTAGTGACGTAGCCCAAGGCAAATCTACACAGCCTACTGACATTTATAGTGGCGCCGGTGAGTTGGCTGCCGCTCTTGACGATTTTGATGAGGGAATAATTATGGATCCCATGACTTATAGTGAGAAGCGGTCTCGACAACTTTTAGAAGAGCGTCTGGAAAGTATTATCAGTGCAGCAGCCTTAATGGCAGATGCTGACTGCACACGCGATGAACGCCGTGAACGTATTGTGGCTGAATGTAACGCCGTACGTCAAGCATTGCAGGATTTATTGTCTGAATACATGTCAAATATGGGTCAAAAAGATAATAGCCCAGGATTGGATCGTGCTATTGATCAAATGTGTCGTAAAACGCGCGATCTTCGACGTCAGTTGCGTAAAGCTGTTGTTGATCACGTGTCGGACTCATTTTTAGAGACTACAACTCCTCTTATCGATCTGATTGAAGCGGCGAAAACTGGGAATGAGAAAAAGGTGCGTGAGAAAGCTGATATTTTTACAAAGCATGCGGAAAAGCTCGTCGAGGTTGCGAATCTTGTATGCAGCATGTCAAATAATGAGGATGGAGTTAAAATGGTCCGATATGCGGCTGCGCAAATTGAAAGTCTCTGTCCTCAAGTCATCAATGCAGCATCGATTTTAACCGTACGACCCAACTCGAAAGTTGCTCAGGAAAATATGACTGCATACAGGCAAGCATGGGAAGTACAGGTGCGTGTATTAACAGAAGCTGTGGACGATATTACAACCATCGATGATTTCTTGGCCGTCTCAGAGAATCACATATTGGATGATGTCAATAAATGTGTTCTGGCCTTACAAATGGAAGACGCCGAAGACTTGCGTACAAAAGCTGGCGCAATCCAAGGTCGCTCAGCTCGAGTTTGCAATGTAGTGGAGGCTGAAATGGATAATTATGAGCCATGCATTTACACGAAACGTGTTCTTGAAGCCGTAAAAGTTTTGCGTGACCAGGTTATGTCCAAATTTGATCAACGTGTTGAAGCTGCTGTAGTAGCTCTCTCCTCTAATTCTAATAAGGACGTAGACGAAAACGATTTCATTGATGCCTCTCGATTGGTATACGATGGCGTTCGTGAAATACGTCGGGCTGTTCTTATGAATCGAAGTTCCGAGGATTTGGATACTGATACAGAATTCGAACCGGTTGAAGATATGACATTGGAAACACGAAGCCGTTCAAGCGCGCACACCGGTGATCAAACTGTGGACGAATATCCCGATATTAGTGGCATTTGCACCGCAAGAGAAGCAATGCGTAAGATGACAGAAGAAGATAAGCAAAAAATTGCCCAACAAGTGGAATTGTTTAGACGCGAAAAATTGACTTTTGATTCGGAGGTAGCAAAATGGGACGATACCGGAAATGATATCATTTTCTTGGCCAAACATATGTGCATGATTATGATGGAAATGACAGATTTTACACGTGGGCGTGGCCCTCTCAAGACTACTATGGACGTAATAAACGCTGCCAAAAAAATTTCTGATGCCGGTAATAAGTTGACACAACTGACACGAGATATTGCTGAACAATGTCCCGAAAGCACTACAAAAAAAGATTTGTTAGCTTATTTACAGCGTATTGACTTATATTGTCATCAGATCCAGATAACTTCGAAAGTAAAGGCTGATGTTCAAAATATAAGCGGCGAGCTGATTGTTTCCGGATTGGATAGTGCCACATCCTTAATTCAAGCAGCTAAAAATCTGATGAATGCAGTTGTCCTTACTGTTAAGTATTCCTACGTAGCATCAACGAAATATACTCGTCAGGGTACAGTGGCGTCACCAATTGTTATTTGGAAAATGAAAGCACCGGAGAAAAAACCCTTGGTACGACCTGAAAAGCCAGAAGAAGTTCGAGCAAAAGTACGTAAAGGGTCACAAAAGAAAGTTCAAAACCCCATTCATGCGCTTTCAGAATTTCAAAGTCCGGCGGATGCGGTCTAAACGCAGTATATGATGTTATATTTAAATTAGCACATCAGACAAAGGTTATCGTGGAATATTATTGAATTGAAAGGGAAATATAACGATTATAAAAATTTCGTTTTATCATATAATCGGAAATGCACTTATGTAACACTATTATTAAATAAAAAGTATTATGAAAAGTATTGTCTTATATGTGTGAATCTTTACGAGTTATTTATACACATTTTTTTCATGAAAGCGAACTGAGCTTTCATCGACCGTTTTAAAAAAAATAAGATAGATCATAATTTACAAATACTTAATGGATTGTTACATTCGATCAGCATACGGTCTTTCTAATTTCTAGTTGCTATAGTTCATCTTTAGCTGAAGTGCAGTAAAAAAAAAATCCAAAGCAATTTTTGAGTTGAGTTGATATGACGAGGCCTATAATTACGCCAGTACGCCAGTTGCTTGTGTGGCGTATAAAAACTAACGCAAGATTAATGTTGCAAACTTTGGCTAAAATAAATTGATTTCAATTAGAATAACAATATCGTTTATCACAAATGTTTTGTTCCCCTCCCTCGCTGATGGGTACTTGAAACAGGAAAAAATTGATATATATATATTTGCTAATTAGATTTAAGATATAACTGGAGGTTAGAATACAAATAAGGATTCGCAAACTCCGTTAACATTATCAAAGAATGTACAACTCCCTATGATGTCAGTAATTGTTTCAAAATCATGCGGAAATGATATATATAAATATTTATTTTATTGATTTTTACAAGTGGTGGTTATCGAAACAAAATAATTACATAATTTATGTACTACCCCTTTAACTTATATTGTTCGTAGTATACCTTGTAATGCGCAGATTTAAAACATTAGAATATAAAGTTTCTTTACAATTGACGTATGAAAAAACATAATTTTAACACTACATCAAGTAGAGATTTTTTACTAAATGAAATAGTTATTGTGCGAGTTTAAAATTAATCAAACTATTAACGAAATTTTTCGTATAGGTATATTCATCCTGTTATTCTGCTCATAAAAATGTTAGAATCATTTTTCAGATTCAGATTCATGGGATTATTTGCCTAAAAATAAAATTTAGAACAGTTGACTCCTATGGGTACTTAAAGATCTTTGAAATAAAGGAATTTGTATTTGTAAAACCAGGTATGTTATCGTAATGAACTTTTTAGTCATTTATAAATTTCCTAAATAAGGGGAGAATATAGCCAGATTTTTATTCAGATTTTCTTAAATTAAGAGCCGAGAGTTATTAATAAGAGTATTAGGAATACGTCTTGATATAATTATCGAATATTTTTTAATTTTGACGGTGTATTATAAATGGTGTTATTATGTATTGATTTGACATTTCTAAGTTTTACCATCATATGAAGTGTTTGATGAATTATGCATTACTTTTTTTCTCAACTAATATTACATGCAATGTTATTTTCGTTGGATAAATTTTCAGTTGATCTGGCATCTCGTCTTTCAACTTTTAATACCGTTTATTATCAATATAATGGGGAATTTATTTCTTTTTTTGTACTTCGTGAATTTTTACTTGGGCTCACAACGAACTCGCACATTTTCATTCGGCAACTTTTGCCCTGCTAGAAAAAACTACATCAGCCACATTGATTGCAAAATTTGCTGTTTCGTAATCGGTGAGTGCATTAGTCGTGTGGAAAAATTTTCATTTTTCAATTTTTTTTAATTGAATTTCCACAATTGAAGATTAATTTAGTCTAAAAGCGAATTTAAATTTATTTTCAGGAGCACGTTAACATTAATTCTTTTCTAAATCGACTTTTTTGGCATATTATATAAAAGCAAAATGTTCACTGCCGTACGGTCGGCCCTAACTAGGTCGGATAAGAAAGTTATATCACTACTTGCCCAGTCTCAGCGGGAATATGCCAAGACTGCTGCCAAGGCTGGAGCTGCCGGTGCAGGCAAGGTTGTCGCTGTAATTGGTGCCGTCGTCGACGTTCAGTTTGAAGATGATTTGCCCCCAATTCTAAACGCCTTGGAGGTAGAAAAACGTACCCCACGTCTAGTGCTGGAAGTAGCTCAGCATTTAGGTGAAAATGTTGTGCGCACCATTGCCATGGATGGTACTGAAGGTTTGGTCCGTGGCCAAAAAGTTTTGGATACAGGTTATCCCATTCGTATTCCTGTGGGTGCGGAGACCTTGGGTCGAATTATCAATGTAATCGGTGAGCCAATCGACGAACGTGGTCCTGTTGGAACCGATAAACGCGCCCCGATTCACGCCGAAGCCCCTGAATTTGTAGAGATGAGTGTAGAGCAGGAGATTTTGGTTACTGGTATTAAGGTGGTCGATTTATTGGCTCCTTACGCTAAAG